CAAAGACGTTCCCAGCTGCGAGAGAGACTGCGTGCTTAGAGCAATGCTCGGAATCAGCCTGCCGATCCTCTCGGCGCACTGCTCCGCCAGGCACGCGGAATGACGCGGAATGGCAGCAAGCACGTCTCCTGGACATGATCGTGGTGACGAAGGACGTGTCCGGCGCCGTGTCACTACCACCCTTTACCGTCCCATCGGAGAGGATGCGCACCCAGAAAAATGGTTTCTTGAATCAAGTTTGGTAATAGACTTGATTTTGTTGACTTGAAATTTAGGCTTGATTCAAGTCACTCCTACTTGTTTCAAGACTGGTCGAAAAGAAGTCCGCGCTAGACTTGAACCGAAATTCTTGCTGCTGATTCCCTGAATCCTGTTCATCATGTCACTGCTGAACCGATGCAAGGTGGTCCTGTCCCATCCCGTCGGAGCGCGGGCCTACTTCCGAACTACCCTAAGTGGCGACCGGGGCTGGCCCCGCGAGCGGACGGCAGCACAACGCGCGCAGCGCGCTCTTGCGGCAGCTGGCGAAACCACGTCGGGCGGTGACAAGGCGCCAAAGTCGTTTCTGCGGTGACCATCTAATTCAGCCATATTTCCTTTCGTTTTCTGAAAGGAATCGTCACAGAGTCTGCCATTTCAATTACTGTGTGGACAAGATCTAGCGGGTGATGGTATTTAAGGGCTTAACGACTGAAAATAATCGCAGACGCGTATTTCACCGCAGGCTCTATATTCAAGTCAACCATGGCCTTGGCTGCTTCAAGTCAAATTTCTTGAAACAAGCCCTAACGGAACAAGGCCATGATAGACTAAGAACAGATGTGAGAAATTTCAAGTCTAAAAAACCTTGAACACTGTGTCGCTATCAAGGCTCCATCGTGCCTGAAACAACAAAAAAGACTTGTTTCAGGCTTCTCGTGGACTTGTTTTAAGTCCAAAATGACTTGACCCACGACAATACGAAACAAGGCAATATCTGACTCAATTCAAGTCTTTTTTGGCCTTGAAGCAATCAAGGCCCATTTAGCCTTGTTTCAAGGCCAGCCCGACTTGATTCAAGACACCTTTTTTCTGGGTGCGGTTCCCGACTCGAGTGTGCGTCGACGCGCCGTAGTCTGCAACTGACCCGGGTCTGGGCCGGAGTCATATTTTCGTCTTTACTTCGGCTATATTTGGTTTCCGCAGAAAGTCCGTTTGAAGCGCGGCAGAAGACGAGAGCTATGGTCATGAAAGGGGGCTTAGGTCGGGGCTCAGACCATCGGGGCTCAAACGGGACGGGGCTCATGTCCTGTATGCCGCTGCGCAAGCTTATTTTTTTTCGTCTTGAAATTGTCTCTATTGCGTATCGCGCCTGCGCCTCGACGCAGCGTCGAACTACGAACCATGAGACTCGGAAATCGGTGCCACAAGCTGCTGGGCCAGGGCGACTTGTTGGAGGGTGGGTGTCTGAGCTTGAGTCCTGTATCACGCTGCCGCCGCGGCGGCTGGGTGTTGACGAGAAATTCGACGGCTGTGGTGTGTCAGTTTAATATTATTTTACACTTCATAATGTTTTTTATCGCCTTTACTGTTCGTGCTCTCTATTACCGTTTAGCGAAATCATACGCATTGAATAGATCGAACGATAAGTGAATAAATGGTATTGAACCGACACACCAAATGGATTTGAAGGGTATTGAACCCCCCCCCCCCCCCAACCTCTTTTGCCGACCGGAAGCCGGCAGCGCTCAATCTCGTCTTTTTCGGCTCTTTTGCCGCGCTCGTACGAGACTTCTTTTCGTCTTTTTCTCGCCTTCTTTTCGGCTTTCGCGAGCCTAAATCCAAACGCGACATAGACAATTTCAAGACGAAACAGATAAGGGGCATTCCATCCCAAATCGGCCACTTTTGTAGGTCACCATTTCGGATCATGATGAAAATTTTTTTGTAGGTAGACCTTATCAAAAAAACATTCTGTGCAAAATCTCAGCCAGATCGGTCCAGTAGTTCCTGAGAAAAGCGCCCTCAAAGTTTTAGTCAAAACTTCATTAAGGTGGTTTGAGCAAATTCGCACTTTTTCACGTTTTGGCCAATAACTCCGCCACTATTCGAGCTACGATGATTCCCAGGACGGTTTCTGAAAGGGAATACTGTGAGGATTCGGAAAATGTACTTGGATTTGAGATGCGACTAGGTAAAGGTGGTGAAAAGTGTGAAAAATCGCAGAAAATTGGTTTTTTTGGACCAATTTTCAGTGAGTTTTCCGGCCTATGCCCATATCGTGAAAATCCAAACCGAATAGCGGAAATTGTAGTCCATACCATGCCCAAACACGCTACGATCTCGGAATTGTTGGGTGTGGGTCTAGTTTCGGAGCTGCAGCGACTTGAAAACTCGTAAAAATAGGTCAAATTCTGTATTTGGCCAAAGTGCACGCGGGGAGGTTTTTTTTTGAACAGGCTCCACGCGGCATGGGTAGCATTGTTCAGATA